TATATATATATAACCTAAAGTGTGTACATGTGTTCAAGTGTGATTAATTCAGTTGAATTTTAAATGAACCGTGACGTCACGTCACGTCGCCTGCCTGGAGCACGCTCCTGGTTACTTGGCAACGCAAAAACCTCGCTGACCTATCAGACGCCTTGCTCGGCGCATTGGTACAATCAGACTGGACTGTTCCAGGGCTAGGAGATCTACTGACGATGAACGCTGGGCTTGTGGGTGAATATAAAAAGTTAGTATTTTACTATAATTATGTGAAAACGTATATTATTCATATTGTACTTTTAAGTCGTAAAAGCCATGTTAGGCAGGGGAACTGTGTGGTGTCACGGCTACGTCTGTTTGAGTGGGTCGTACTTCGGCTTTATAAACAGGCGTGTCTCCAGCGAGGGGGGTGGTTTGAACCTTTAGTGTCAAGCGGCGTGCGTGTGTCTCTTTCTCTCTCTCGGGTACTGGATTATGTGGAGTTGTCTGCACGAATGCAAAGTTAACCTCTTCTTTTTAGGACTTTGAATGCTTTCGGACATGTATGTACTGCTCTCAGTGTTTGGTTATTTTTGTGAAGGCAAAGTGTGCTTGAACTCCGTAGTTAGGAAAGTAGTGCACGTTAACGTTGGGCTCGCTAATTTAAAGTTTACACAAGCCGCAACCATGATTAAAAAAGTGGGATCAGTCGGTGAATTTTAACGTAAGATTTTTTTTTTCTTAGTCTTTCCAGCCTTACGGTTATAGTTACCCAACTTTGCTGACTTTACAAAGGGTTCTTCGCCATATGGATTTATGGATTGAGTCCAACTTTACGATGTCAAGTTAGCGTAATGGTGACACAATTAATCTTACATTGTAAAGCTCCGTTTGGTACTTGTATTTAAAAAATGCTAACTTAGCAGTTAGCACAAAGTAACGATAGTGATTAGAGCGAATGCTGCATTCGACACGGGTAAATTGACAAGTCGGCTGGAACGAACGTTAAAGCTGATTTTTTTTGTTAAAATGTGTGAAACTTATTAATTTCGAATGTGGGTAGCGTTACTTAGGGGAACGCCGACTTTAGCGAACTCTAAGCTAGCTCGGTGTTTGTCACCCTGTGTTTCTGAAATAAAAGCCAGGCTCGCGCGGCGAGCAGTTCTAGAAGCCTCACGCGCTCTGTCCTTTGCTGTGTGTGTAACGGAGTGCAGGTTGTCTCGTGCTCGGACTCTGCCCTGCGCGTGCTGAACGGGTCCTGATGCTGAGCAATTTTATAAGTTGTTACATCTGTTTTAGATTGTTTTGATATTGGAATTGATGTGATTTGTAGAGCCGCAACTATTAGTTTATTATTAGGTTACTCCAGCAACAGAAAAATGTAAGACAAAAACTGTCATGATAATGATCCCAGTAGGTTTTGGTTTTGGACTGTTGATCTGGCAACACAATTTATCTAAAGAGGTTTGGGAAGTCTATGGGAATTTTTCCCAGCTTTCATATCTTCACATACTGAAGTGAAGGAAGATGGTTCATAGCGGTCTGATTTGTAGGTTTAACTAATTTGTTTTGTGTCACCTTTGAAAGCCATAACTAACATGTTCTTTCTGGCCATCTTAGTTATTCTGAACTCTGTGAGAAGATGGATAACATGGAAGATTCGAGTAATTGTTCTGTCAGTGTCCTGACCTGGGAGCAGGTGAGCCGGCTGAATGAAGTCCTGACGGAGCCTGTGCCTGTTCATGGACGGGGGAACTTCCCTACCTTAGAGGTGCGACTGAAAGACATTGTGGCTTGGGTGCGCTCTCGCCTTGAGCTGAGTGGCATCAAAGTAAAGGACGTAAGGCTCAACGGCTCCACAGCCAGCCACGTGCTGGTGCAGGATATTGGCTGGAGCTACAAGGATCTGGATGTCATCTTCAGGGTAGACCTGCCACACGAGGCAGAGTTCAGGCTCATTAAGGATGTGGTGCTGGGTACTGTGCTAGACTTTTTACCCGAGGGTGTGAACAAGCAGAAAATTACACCCATGACTCTCAAAGAGGCTTATGTTCAGAAGCTAGTGAAGGTCAACACAGAGCAGGACCGCTGGAGCCTCATCTCCTTGTCCAACAATAATGGCCGCAATGTGGAGCTGAAGTTTGTGGACTTCATACGTCGCCAGTTTGAGTTCAGTGTGGACTCGTTTCAGATTGTGCTGGACTCTATGCTTGCCTACTACGAGGAGGCAGAGACGCCCATGTCACAGGCCTTTCACCCCGCTGTGAGTAGCGAGAGCATGTACGGGGACTTCAACATGGCTCTGAGCCACCTGCGGAACAAGCTCATCGCCACCAAGCGGCCTGAGGAGATTCGTGGAGGTGGCCTGCTGAAATACTGCAATCTGCTGGTGCGGGACTTCAGGCCTGCCAGTGAGGAGGAGTTCAAGGGCCTGGAGCGGTACATGTGCTCACGCTTCTTCATTGACTTTCCTGACATCAGTGAGCAGCAACGCAAAGTGGAGGCCTACCTCCAGAGCCACTTTATTGGAGAGGAGAAGAGCAAGTATGACTACCTCATGATCCTGCGGCGAGTGGTCAATGAGAGCACAGTGTGCCTCATGGGCCATGAGCGCCGCCAGACCCTCCACCTCATCTCGCTGATGGCCTTCCGCGTCCTGGCAGAGCAGAACGCCATCCCCGATGCGTCCTGCGTCACCTGCTACTATCAGCCTGCGCCTTATGTCCAAGACCACAACTTCAGCAACTACTATGTGGCTAACCAGAACATTCCAACATGGCTGCCTTGTAACTGACAAAACAAACGCATGGAAAGATGCACAAGAGATGCCACTGCTGCTGCTTTTCAGAAGAGAGAAGGAATTTAAAAACTGCCAAAAAAAATTTATATAGAGGCAATAAATGCTGTGTTCCTCTCAAGGCACAACTATATTTAAATGGACAAAAGTGTTTTGCTTTGTTTTTTGGAATCCTTTCTCATTCCTTATCTACAGAGGTGTCTAGATCATTGAATAGAAAGTGATATTTTTAAGTGTTATTGAGCTTTTTTTTTTTCCCCCCCCCTCATCATGTTTGGTTGTTTCTTAATGGAGTTGTGTTTTGTGCCTTAACCTCCAGGTTTACCCCCCTTTAATTTACATGCGGGCAATTTTGTGATTAAGGGAAGAAGAAAATGTTGTAGCCTTGACTTTGATTTTCGTCTGTGATTTAAAAAAAAAAAAAAAAAAAAAAAAAAAA